ATCTCTGTAGTCACTTCAGTGTTGGCAGTGGGACTATAGGGCCCTGAAACATCTCTGGGGCACTTCCCCTGTGGTTTACTGGATCACAGAAAGGCCAGTCCACCAGGTGTGGCCATCTCGCTGGTGCCTCAAGCTGTTATGGATGAGTGAGTTTGAACAATAGAGTTGCACCACACTCTGTCAGGTTTGAGCCCATTTATTATAGCAGGTGGCCAAGGAGGGGTTAGCACCTAGAAAATTTCCTTGGCAATGGGAAGCAGTTTGTTTTCTTCTTTTATCTCTCTTTTTTTGTATGCGGTATGGGGGATCAAACTAGGGTCCTTGCACTGGAAAGGCAGGCAGGAACCACTGAGCTAAATCCCTGACCCTGTTTTCTCCTTTTAAATCATGCTTTCCGTTGGGGAGGGGTTGGGGAGAGCAAGCAGAATCTTACAGAAGCAGAAGCATGCCAGGTTAGTGGGGGGCCCAAGGAAGTTTCACACACACACCAGGTGAGTTACAAAACATACTGCAACTGTAGTGAGTTTACTGCCAAGCAGGATGTGGGGGTTTTGGGTGCTTTGTTCAAGTGCAAGCACCTTGTTCAAGCACAGGTACAAAATGGTGTTGAGAAACAAGATGGAGTCGGGTTGGCTATCACAATAATTCCCTTCCTTATTTTAATTGTCTTTGTTTTTCTAGGAACTTGAGGTACATCATTAGGTTATGTATTTGGGCTCACTCTGTTACGGTTTATATCTAGATGTTCCCTCAAAGCCTCATGTGCTCATAGGTGGTGGTTTGGGAGGTGGTTGGATCATAGGGGTGTACTATTAATGAGTGGACTGATCTATCAATGAGTTTATAACAAAATGTGATGTTGGGAGGTTAAGCCTGGTGGAAGGAGGTAGGTCACAGTAAGAATGGCCTGGAAGGCCCTATTTCCCTCCCTCCTCCCTTGACAGCTCTCTCTTCCTGTCTGCCATTCCATGGCAAGCCTTCTCTGCCTTGCCCTGTGCCATATTGCCCTGCCTCGGAGCCAGCTGACTACAGACTGAAACCTTTGCAAACTGTGAGCCAAATAAACTTTCCTCTTTTCCTCTGTCTTGTATTGCAGTGATGAGAGAAGCAAAGTAAAATACTCTTTTTTCTCATGTGGGGATTCACAGTTATAAACTAACCCCTTGAGGTCTCCCATTAAAATTATGTTGATGTTAAATCTGATGTTTAATGTCCAGTACTGTTTGTTTCATGGAGTTAGTCTCACTGGTATTTGGTGCACAATTATCTATAATTGTTATTTCTTCCTGTTGAATTGTTCTCCTACTCAATATATACAGTGACCTTTTCTGATCAGATTTTTCTTGAAGTGTATGATATCTAAAAATAAGACTCTACTCTTGCTTGTTTTCAGGCACTCATTTCATGGAATGTTATTTTCCATCATTTAATTTTTAGTCTACAAATTTCTTTTTGGATTAAATGTGCTTTTGTATACAGCATACCATTGGGTTTCATTTTTTATTTTTGCTTTGTTTTTTTTGTAGCACTGGGGATTGAATTCAGGTCCTTGAACTTGGAAGGTATATGTGGCACCATTGAGTTAAATCCCCAGCCTTGTTATTTTTGACCCAATCTGCCTCTCTGTGTCTTTTGATTGGAGATTGAGACCATTCACATGGAGAGTTATTACTGAAATATATTGATTTTTTTGTTGTTGCATCATTTTCCTGTTGCTAATTCCTTTAACACCCCGTCTTTCTGTTTAAACACTCATCCAACTTGGTATATTCATTCAATTAGGCTTTTTGACATTGTTGACTTCATTGTCTCTTTCCAGAATATCCTTCAGACATTTTTGTTACTGGTTTTGTGATCAGAAGTTCTTAAGGTGCTCTTTGTTATGAAAAGGCCTTATGTCTACAGCTATTTTGAAAGATTGTTTTGCAGAATATATCAGTCTGAGTGGGAAAATTGTTTTCTTTTAGTGCTTGAAACACTTCACACCAAACTCTCCTGGTCTTTAAAGCTTGTGTTGAGAAGTCTGTTATATTTCTATTTTTCTACTGGTATATTTTAGATATACATAATGTAACATCATCATAGAGAATTTGTACTGTACATGATATATTTTGCTTCTATGTTTTTCCCATCCCCTCCCCTCACTTCAACCCTTCTTCCCCTATATATTTACAAAAGCATTGTTTCCATTTTTTCTTCTATTCTCCTTTTAAAATTGCCCCCCTTTCCATTTCCCAATATCTATTATACATTTTGGTACTTATTTATACTTTTGGTTTTCAAACCAGAGAAACAATGTGGTATTTAAACACAAGTGTCAGATTTACTTCACTTAAGAGTATGATCTCACGGTACATCAATTTAGCTAGAAATGTCTCAAGCTATCCTTCTTGATGGCAGAATAGTACTCCACTGTATAAAAAAAAACCCTACGTCTTCTTTATCCATTCATCTGTTAATGGGAATTTGGGCTGTTTCCAAGATTTAGCTATTACAAACTGTGCCACTATAAACATGTGTGTGCATATTGCTATGGTATGATGCTTCTAATTCTTTTGGGAGGATACCAAGAAGACAAATACCTGGGTCAAATGGAACCTCAAGTTTGAGTTTTTTGAGGCATCTCCACACTGATTTCCACAGTGATTGCACCAGTCTACACTCCCACAAACAGTGGGAAAGGGCTCCTTTTTCTCCATAGACCAGCCAGCGTTTGTTATTAGCTGATTTCCTGATAATAGCAATGCTTTCTGCTGTGAGATGGAATCTCAGCATTTTAATTTCATCTCTCAAATGACCAGTGGTGTTGCACATTTTTCATGTATTTATTTGCTACTACTTCTTCATCTGAGCAGTGTCTATTCATTTCAGATGACTATTTTTGGATGGGGTCTTTAAATTTGTGGGGTCTGATTTTTTGGAGTTCTTTATATATTTTAGGCATTAGTCCTTTGTCTGAGGAAGAGCTGGCAAATTGTTTTGCCCACACTGTGGATTGTCTCTTCCCTCTGTTGGTAGTTTTATTTGCTATGAAAAATCTTTTTAATAAGATCAGATCCCAGTTATTGATTCTTTGTGATATTTCCTGTGCAATTGGGGTTTTATTAATAAAGACTTTGCCTACATCCATGTCTTCAAGAGTTCTAACTAGTCTGTCTTCTAGAAGATTTAGTGTTTCTGTTTTTAATATTTAGATCTCTGATCAATTTCAGCTTTAGTTCACTCTGTGGTGAAAGATATGGGTCTAGTTTTAATCTTTGGCAAATGGAAAACCAGTTTTTTCAGCACCATTTATTAAAGAGGCTATCTTTCTTCCACTGAAGGTGTTTGGCTCCTTTGTCAAAGATAATGTGGCTGAGTATGTTTGAGTTATTTCTCTATCTTCTGATCTATTCCACTGGTCTCAGGCCTGTTTTGTTGTTGTTATTGTTGTTTTTTTCAAGTACCATGCTGTTTTTATCACAGTAACTTTATAGTATAATTTCAAACCAGGGATTTTGATGCATCCTGCCTTGCCTTTGTTGTCCAGTATTGCTTTTGCTATTCTAGGTCTCTTCTGGTTCCAAATGTATTTTAGTATTGTTTTCTCTAATTCAGAGTTATGCTATTGATATTCTGATTGGGATTGCATTAATTTTGTATAACAATTTTGGGAGTATGGCCATTTTTATTGTATTGGTTCTTCCTAAAGAACAAGGGATATCTTTCCTTTTTATCTATCTATCTATCTATCTATCATCTATCTATCTATCTATCTATTGTTACTGGGGATTAAACTCAGGACCTTGCACTTGCAATGCAAGCACAGTGCCACTGAGCTAAATTCCCAGCCAGATCTTTCCATTTTCTGATATCCTCTCTGATCTATCTGCTTTTTTCAGAGTACTGTACTTTTCATGTAAAACTGTTTTATTTCCTTTGTTAGATTGATTCTTAGATATTTCATTCTTTTGAGTGCTATTGTGAAAGGTGTTGTTTCCCTAATTTTTCTCTCAATGAGTTTATTATTGGTGTACAGGAATGCTACTGATTTTTGAGTGTTGACTGTATTCAGCTATGACACCGAATGTGGTTACTAAATCTAGAAATCTTTTGGTAGAGTTTTTGGGGTCTTCTATGTATCATGTCATCTGCAAATAATGATAATTTAATTTCTTCCTTTCTTATTCTTATTCTTTTGATTTATTTCTCTTGTCTAATTTCTCTGGCTATGTGTCCAGAACTATATCAAATAAGACTGGTTATAGTGGACATCCTTGTCTTGTTCTTGATTTCACAGTGAAAGTTTTCAGTTTAGTTTGTTGTTGTCTGCTGGTTTGTCATAGATGACTTTTTATCGGATTGTGAAAGACAATCTATTGCAGTTTTCTGTAAGATTTTTTTTTTAAATCATTAAGGAGTGTTGGACTTTGTCAAATGCATTTTCTGCATCTATTGAGATGATTATATGGTTTTTGTCCTTGGCTCATAATATGGTATATTACATGTATTGATTTACATATGTTGAACCATCCTTGAAACCCTCAGATGACTCCTCCTTGGTCATGGTGTATAATCTTCTTGATGATTTCCTGCATTCTGTTTGCTGTTTTTTTTTTGTTTGTTTGTTTGTTTTGTTTTTGGTGTGGGGGATTGAGCTCCTAACCTTGCACTTGTGAGGCAGGCATGGTCCCACATAGGTAAATCACCAGCCCTGCCACTATCTAATTGAGGATTTTTGCATCTATATTCATTCTGGAGATTGGCCTGTAGATCTCTTTTTTTTGGTTGGACCCTTCTCTGGTTTTAGTATCAGGGCAATATATTCAGGGAATGAATTTGGGAGTATTGCTTCCTTTCAATTTCATTAAAGAGTTTGAGAAGTAGTGGCATTAGATCTTCTCTAAATTTCTTGTAGGATTAAGCAGCAAATCAATCAGGGCCTGGGCTTTTCTTTGTTGGTAGGGTTTTTTTTGTTGTTGTTGTTATTGTTGTTGATTTTTGTTTTTTTGTACTAGGACTCAAACTCAGGGCCTCATGCTTGCCAAGTACGTGCTGTACTGCTGGATTACAATAGAGCTACATCCCTGACTGTTGGTAGGTTTTTAATTACTTCTTCAATTTCATTGATATTAGTTTATTTTGAATTTTTATATCATCTTAATTCAGATTTGGTGATTCATATGTATCTAGGAATCTCTCCATTTTTTTCTGTTTTCCATGATATTAGAATACAGGTTCTTAAAATAGGTATTAATGATCTTCTGAGTTTCTGCTAGATCTGCTGTGATTTTTGCCCTTTTCATTCCTAGTTTTTTTTTTGGGGGGGGGATAAGGTTGGCTAGGGTTTGTTAATTTTATTTACTCTTTCAAAGAACAAGCTCTTCAATTCTTTGACTCTTTGTATTGTTTTCTTAGTCCTCATTGCGTCAATTTCTGCTCTGATCTTTATAATTTCCTTTCCCATATGAGCTCTAGGCTTGATTTGCTCTTCTTTTTCTAGGAGACTGAGGTTCAACATTATGTTGTTTCTTTGAGCTTGCTGTGTTTTTTCTTACAGGAGAACTCACTGTTTTACTTTTCCCTCAAAAGACTGCTGTAATTTCATCCCATAAGTTCTGATATGCTTTATTAGCATTGTCATTTAATTGTAGAAATTGTTATTTAATTTCCATGTGTTTATGAAGTTTTTGTGGTTTCTTATGCCACTAATTTCCAATTTCATTGTGCTATAGTCTAATAATACGTGTGGGATAATTTATTTTTTGCATTTACTTAAGCATGCTCTATGAGCTAGTATGTGGTCTATTTTGGAGAACATCCCATGTTCAGGTGAGAAGAATGTGTATTCTGATGTGGGGTGGAACAGTCTGTAGGCATGTAATAAGTCCATTTGTTCAAAAGTTTGGCTCAGTTTTTCCTAAACTCCTGTTATGTTTTGTTTTTTAATCTGTATCCGCTCTCATTATGATCACCATCTTTGTAGTTACCTGAGAAATTATTTCTGATTGATTTTTTTTCTAGAGCCTCATTCAACTGCTTTGTTACTTCCACTATGAATCTATGAAACTATGGCAAGCTAGCTTGCTAGCTTTCATGCAGAGTAAAATCTCAGGCCCTTCACAGCTTTTCATGTCACTCAAGAACTTATCATATTTGTAATGCTTTTAATGGGTTAAAGCTTTTTACCAAGTGAACTTAGCATAATTCTATTCCTTATCACCCTCAAAAAAGGGCTAATGAGGTACTCAGGTGACATTTGCTGTCCTTCATAGCTCTGTCCCTTTTTGTGGGCTTATCCAAATTCTTTAAATACCCCTCTTCAGGAGGGAAAAAATACCTCAATAGATCTCTCCAGGGTCTATTTCTTGTATTTTTTTGTACCATCCTACCTCACAACAGCCATTACTTGGTCTTTATCCACCCTAGTTGTAATGGTCACCATTTGATATCCATTCTTTACCATTCCCTCACCCTCTTCAAGATGAATGAATTCTTGTTGGAACCGAAACACTATTCAAACATTCACTTATTTCCAAGCATCCAGAGAAAGCTGACCCATCTGCAATTTCAGAGGTAGAATTAATTGATATAAGAATAACTCATTCATTCCCTTTGCCAAAAGACCAGTTCTGGCTACTGACATTTTAGATGTCTGAGAAAAAGTTTTTCTGAAATGTTACCTTTTTCTCTTAAAATAAAGCCTCAAAAGTAAATATGCTCTATTTCTACATGTGATATTTGGAACATCTGTAACTATCTTACTCTCGATCTAAAAACAAAGCCACCATTCAGAAAGGCAGAACAGAGAAATGATGACAATGTTGTGCTGCTGAGTTAACCAACTCTACTGGACTCTACCTCTGGGCTTCCTGCTAAGTGAGGGAATGCATTTTCTAAAGGTTTTGAGCATGGTAAGTTTGTTCTCTACCACTGAGCTACATCTTCAGCCCCTTTGTATTTAAGGCGTCTAACAGATCCATCAGGTTTATTATTTCTTTCATTTTGTATGTAAGAAAACTAAGAGATAGGAGCTTAACTACCTGTACAAGTCACATGACTAGTTAAGTGATAAAGCTAGGATTTGATTCCAAATCTGGCTCAGAATCCACAGAATTAATCACTGTTCTATTACTTTACATTAGGCCACCTCTTGAAGCCTAAAGCATTCCCACTGATATTCGATACCATTTTCTGGGCTTCTTCAAGGAGACTTAGTCTTTAGATTCCCTTGACCCACAAAGTCATGCTTGCAGACCAGCTTCACTCTCTCATACCCACCTGTGGGGTCCACTGCTTACTAGGGACAGATGGTTAGACATTAACACCAAATGTCATGTCCTATTTGAACACTGAAGAAGGCAGCCAAAGGGCATATGTATTTCAAGCATCCTGACCTGATGAACCTATGCAAAGGGAACGTATTGTGTGGGCAAAAATCCCACCTTTCAGGAGAGACCTTCTGTTCTTACTGTCTGGCTGCCAGCAACTGAAAGCTTTTACAATTGTCTTTTTCAAAATTAATTTTATTGGTACATTTAATGTATACAATATAATGACATTCATTGTTGGAAATTTGTACCTTTATATTATCCATCTTGGTTCTTATTTTTTCCCCATTCCCCTGCCCTCCCTTCAACCCTCCCTCCAACCCCTCCCTCCTTCCCTATCTACAAAGACTTTGTTTCCATTATTTTTCATTTTCTCATGTTAATTCCATTCTCTTCTTTCCTTTCCCCTACCCCCCCATTCACATTTGTCTTTTTGCCATCAAGAAAATGACTAAGCAGGTTTCAAGCCTGTCTCAGAAATTATATATAGTATGTAATCTTTGTATATCTATGCAAGCTTTCTATATATAAGCTTATATAATCATAAGATACTTCTGCCTTTGTACAACATTATTATATGTTCTCTGGATAATCAGCAGTTATCCCAACATTATATGACATGGGAGTGAAAAGGAGTATAATTGCCAGACTGGATCAACAGATTTACCTCTGCTTCTCTTGCCCTTTGTCCTGGGATGTCCTTTCCCCTGTGTTCACTGCTAGTCCTTGCCTGCTGATACCATTCTGCCCAACCTGTGATTAGTAGAAAATCTGGACTTTGCCCAGGAACAATTTTTCCTGCCAACTCTCCCAGCCTACACTCTTTCAGCAAATTATCAAACAAATTTCCAGAATTATTTTTTAAAAACAATCGGAACAACCAGGGGAAAGGTGAAAGGCATTCTCCAACTAGGGTAGAGGTTATCATTGGGTGTCTCTGTTTGATTAATTTGGGTAAGTATGTTGCTTCATCCTGGAGTAACATCCCTTTAACACTGATCTCTTTGAGATCATCTTATGAGAAATAGGAATAACAGTGTGTAACTCATTTCCAGTTTTCTGAATCAGAAAATTTGTTGTCTTCAATGAAATTGAAAATGGAAAAGCTTCACATTTGAGAGATTTAAAAGTATCATAGGATCTCCTTAGATCTAAAAAAGAGACTTGGGGCTGGGGATTTATCTCAGTGGTTCCACAGCCTGCCTTGCAAGGATAAGGACCAGAGTTTGATCTCCAGTACAAAACTTTTTTATTTTGTTTTCCCCTAAAATCTTCTGTATTATAAGTATCTGAAGCTTTCTTTTAAACAGATCTGAAATGAAGCAGATGGTCCACACTTATCTGAATTTAGATGACTCAAAAAGTATAAAGCCTTTTTTTTTCTACCTCACACTGGGCTTTTAAGATAAAGGTCAGACCTTTGAGAGGTCTCATTTTTCTATGAATAGTTATAGAAGAGGATGCTCAGATAAGGTTGTATGCATGCTGGAAAAATTATCCATTTATTTTACATTTTAGGGCTTACTTTGGCAGTACATACCTTACATATGAAGATTTCAAATATATGTTCTCCAAGAAAAAAATACAGAAAATGGTAATAAGAATTGGGAAAAAACTTACAATTACAAAAGGTATATATGTTCTGTTGAAATACTTTTCTTTCTGAGTTTCCTCCTAGCTTCTTAATGAAATAGTTCAATACCAAGGAGATGGTGAGGGTGACGTGTTTATCTTTTGGAAATAAAATACCAGTCCTCTTTTTGTAGATAAGCATTTTTAGTTAATCTTATAATAGAATTATTTTTAGTGTGGTGTGCTATGTGGTATAATATAGTGTGTCATAATAGTATTATTTTTTTCTGATTTAATAGACAACATATACTTACTATAGGGAGATTTAAAAACAGTCCTTCATTCAAACAATAAATATTTTTAAAGCTTTTACTAGATATAGAAAAATAGGAATGTATTTAATGTCAAACAAAACCTGACATAATCTCTGTTCTCATGGAGTTTAGAGTTGAATATGCACCCAGAAGAAAAGTAACTCATTTAATATTGAACAATTTTTGTAGTCAAGTGAAAATTACCTATAATTCAGAGGTTATAGTTCAATACTATATTCTGATAATAAGTTGGGCAGGCAGTAGATAGAAAAATATATTAGTTCAGTAGAGATAAATCTGTATTTTGAACACTTCTTGAATGAATGACTTATAACTAATTTCATAAACCCAATCACCTTTATTTCTTCCAAGAAATTGCCTAAACACTTACTTACCTTCTGGGTAAGCAAGATGCCTCATAACTCTCTTGTTGAGAAGTCTACAAAACCAGGTCCTCCCAAGGCTTCCAAGGGTGACAAAGGCCAATTTCTTTCTGAGGCACTACACAGTTGTCCCACAGCATCCTAAAACATAGAGTTACCCCTGCATGATCCTACCGCAATGTTTGTATACTCCTGACCCAGATAACCACATGGTTTGCTCAGATCTTGCTGAGAGCATGATCCCATACCCCCAGATCCAAGGACAGCCAGTGCTCCCCTCACCTGCACTCTGAGTTTTGTGTTATGTACACAAATGGCAAACATTTCCAGATTGTATGGACATCCACTTTCTGGAGCATCAACAAGTCCCAGAAGAGCTGAGTCAGACCTGAGTCCTGACCTTACTGCTGTCCCTCAGATTCACCTAGAAACAATTTCTCAACTAACACTGAGACACATATTTCCTCAATCCAACACACAAACACACACATTTAGGTCCAAATTTGAAATAATTTTTTTATTAAACTTACCCTTCCTGTATGATCCACATGGCTTGATTTTTTTCTATTATATCATCTATTAAAACATACTCATTGTACTGGGGCATTATGGTATATACCTCTAGTCCCTGGGAGGATAAGGCAAGATGATTACAAGTTTGAAGCCCTCCTAGGTGATGCAACCATACCCTATCTCAAAAAACAAATTAAAACAAAACAAATACTGATTGTGATTCATTAACAGTTCAAGACCCATTATTTGAAAAATACTGACCTAAACTTTGGCCAGGTTTTCTATTTAAATCTCCAGGTCACAAAGGTTATGATTATGCCCCATTTCCTTGGACAATAGAGATAAAAGTAAGTTTTTTTTAAGGTGGCTACCCTGAGACCCCCTGACCCACTTCAGTGGTTTCAAGTGATTGATTCTTTAGTGAGAAACCAACCATACTTTTGTACAAATGATTTCAAGGCACTGTAATCTCTCATCCAGACAAGGAAGACCTATTTCCATTCACTGGAAATGACTTTCTGGTACAAGTTGCTAGTGAAGAGAAAACAGAACTTCAGAAGCAGAAACAACAAGTAACAATTCAGCAATAGTTAAAAAGTTACATAGAGTCTGGGGATGTAACTCAGTGGTAGAGTGCTTTCCTAGCATATAGTAGACCTTGAGTTCAATCCCCAACACTACAAAACAATAACTACAACACTATTATAAATAGATAATATTTGAGATCAAGTTAGTTATTCTCGGGGCACACTGACTGGAAGGGAACATGAGAAGGCTTCTATTTCTTGACCTAGGTACTAGTTATGTGGGAGAGTATAGTTTGTTTAGGTCTAGAATATCGATCCATCCTCAAAGTGACAGTGGGAGCCTTAATGCCCATAAAAGATTAAAAGTATAAATACACTGTGGAATATTCACCCAATAGAATACTGAACAGTAAGATAAAGAATAATTTCTATTTACATGTAACAGGTGAATCTTAGAACATATAGTTGAGGAACAATGCCAGATAAAAAATAGTACACATTACATGATTCGTTGGCATAGAGTACAAAGTAGGCAAAGCTGATGGTGTACCTGGGTCATAGTTACAGGAGGGGAATACAAGAAGGTCTGGAGCCAGGAAATGATCTAGGTGACAATTACATGGGTGTATTCAGTTTGTTCAAGATAGTTTAGAGCTTTCACAGCTTTATGAGAAAATGATTATTGCTACTTTCATTTGCAGATAGGGACTCTGAGGTTCAAAAAAGGTGACAGCTTTGTTGAGGTTGTACATTTCTTAAGTGATAAGACTGTGATGGGACCATGATCTCTGCCTCCAAGGCCCAGGAGCAGAGCCATTGTAAGGAGTGTTATCAGAATAGAAATTACAGCTTCCTACAACTTAGTAAAGGAGCTTCATACTGGTCTTTTCAAGTAGTCTGTAATAGTGTTGTGGCAGAAAATAGGACATGCTGTGCAGTTAATTGACACTGAATTTCTTCTTTGACCTATGAATTACACAGACATGTATTGTTTAGTTTTCAATTGTTTGGAAAATGTGTTAGTCAGCTTTCCATTGATGTGATAAAACACCTGAGAAAACAACCTGAAGGAGGAAAGATTTATTTTGGCTTATGATTTCATAGGTTTCAGTCCATAGTGAACTTGCTTCATTGCTTGTGAAGAAAAGATGATGAGCTTGCTCTATTGCTTTTAGGCTTGGGGCGAGGCAGAAGTATCATGACCACAGTGTGTCGGGGTGAGAAGCTGTTCACCTAATAGCAGCCAGGAAGAAGAAAAGGTGAAAGAGCCAGAGAGCCTGTGCTACTGAGCTTCCTCTTTCTATTTTTCTTTCCTCCAAGCTTTGACTCTTTTGGGTGGTGCCTCCCATATCACCTTGCTGTCTCACGTGTTAATGGTCTCTGGAAAAACACTCACAGACACACTTAGAAGTATGTTTTACTAATTTCACAGGTATTTTCCAATCCTGTCAAGTTGATAGCCAAGATTAACAGTCCCAGAGATTTCTTCCTTAATTTTATATTTTTGATATTTAGTTTGGTCTTATTGTTTCTGGAAAACATACTTGCATGTTTTCAATTCTTTAAAAAAAATTCAGGTGTGTCTTGTGGCCTAGGATCTAGTCTATCTTAATAAAGTTCCCATGAGTACTTGAAAAGAATATATTTCCTGCTGTTTTTGAATGTAGTGTTCTATAAATGTTTTTAGAATTTTTGGTTGATGGTGAATTCTTCTATATCCTCGATGATTGGTTTTTTTTTTTTCGTCTAGTTGTTATATCTATTTTCTTTTTTGGTACTTGGAATTGAACTTAGGAACTTGCACTTGCCGGGCAGGCATGGTGCCACTGAGCTACATCCCTGGCCCCTGTTCTATTTATTTTCAAGAGAGGGATGTTGATGTCATCTCAGGAATTGTAGACCTGTCTATTTCTTCTTTGAGATCTATTGGTTTCTATTTCAATATTTTGTAACTTTTACATTTGTGTACATATTTGTTTTGAGGGACTGATGTGAAAATAGGCTTTTCTATAATAAAAAGTGAAAAGAGGTTTTGATGAAATAAAGGAATAAACTTTGTCCCATGGGGTGAAAAGCTAAAATGCCTAGGCCAGGCACTGCAAGTACAAAGGGCAGTGCTTTCCTCATGGGATAAATCATCACTTATCAGGCACCTCTCAATATCATTATGTTCTGACTGAAACTCTAAGATGCATATTTTAGTAGAAGTCTCCGAATTGTCCAATGTTGCTTACTGTCATGATTATCTTAAATGGGAGTCAGCCCCGAGGTTCTCAATAAGAGTTCTTAAAAAGTGAGTTTTTTTTTTAAAAAATGTGAGCTGATGTACTTAACTCTTATAATTAAAAAACAAAAACTATTTATTTAGAGCCATGCCCTCCCCTGCCTGTGTGCCACCAGCCCCAGCAAGGAAGGTGAGACTTGGGAGGGCTGCTCCGAGATCTGCTCTCCCACTGGCCTGCTTGGGCCCATTTGGCAGGACTGGGTAGCCATACCCTTCCCTGCCTGCTCCACCACCAACTCCAACAAGGAAGGTAGCTGTGAGGGCGCCCTTGGAACACCCCCCCACCTGTTCTCAGACCTTCTGATTGTGCCAGTCCTTGGATCCACTCTCCAGAGGCATAGGTGGTCATAAAGGGTGTTCTTCTGAGCTTCCAACTTTGAACATCTTTAAAGAAAGGGTGGGAAAACCTGTAATAGAACTGTGTGGAGTTCAACTCTCAGGAGGTCGGAGAACTAAGTCTGGGCCTTGCAGTCATCCCTCTGCTGGTTATCTTTCCAAAAGAATTTGAAAAATCATGTCACAGAGATATATGCACAACTATGTTTATAGCAGCACAGTTTGTAATAGTTAAAACTTGGAAACAGCCCATTTGCCCATCAGTTGGAAACTGGATAAAGAAGATGTGGTTTCTATAAAATGGAATATTACTCAGCCATAAAGAATGAGAAATTAGATTCATTCATAGGAAAATGGATACACTTTGAGGATATACTCCTAAGTAAAATAAATAAGTCACACATGTGTAAATATCAAATAGTTTCTCTGGAGTGAATAAACTATAATAGTACATAAGATCCTAATGATATAATGGACAATATGAAATAGGAAGAAAAGGGCTAAAGGTGTAGGGAAAGTGTGAAGGGTAGGGCAAAGCTAATAAGAGAAAAGAAAAAAATATGAGAAAATGAAAAAATGGAAATGAAGTGTTTGTAAAGGAGGAGGGGTGGAGGGGATGAAGGGAGGGCAGGGATAAGGGGAAAAAATGAGAACCAGGACCTGTCATGTAAAGGTACAAGATCCCAATAATGAATGTAACTGTACTGTATACCTAAAATGTACCAATAAACTCAATGAGGAAACAACAACAACAACAAAAAAAACTATTTAAAAATCTATATTACCACCTCTACTTTCACATAAGAATGTTGGCGCATTAAAAAGCTATAAATCTTCAGTTGTAATCCATACTCTTCAAAAGGGTGACTTTCCTTTCCTTTCACAATAATGGCACAGTCAATGCTTTTATGCAAATATGTATGTAAAATATGATTATCTTCATTACTTTTCTGCTTCCTCATGTATTATAATTTTTTATAGGAAACACACTGAAGCCGACAGAGTATTTGTATTGAAGTAAGAAGAAAGATCTGGATAGTAGAAATTGAGGATCTTGGTGTTTACCCATGGGGACTCTTTCTAACCTTCTGTTAAAGAAGAAAGCTTCAGTAGGCACTTGACTAGAGTAAGAGGAACAGACACCACCATTTCAAACAACTCTTACACATGGCTTGGTTACGCCTGCACCACTATTCTATCTGTGCTGTCATGGTCAAAGCCACCCAGCTGTGGCCAGCTTTTCCAGGGCTTCTGTGATGCTGGCACCTACTCCCCAAGGAATAGCTAAATTTCCCAGTGGCACCTTTTGTCCAAAGGAGGAAAGGTATTTATGGATAAAACTCTCCCTTTTTATTTCAGCTATCTTAGCTATTTTTTTCCAGTTCACTTATCTTATTCTTAGCAAAGAATAAGATACCAATAGATTACCATTCACAGCCATTGTTCATTTTTCTTATATTTCTTTATGTGTGTTTCATATATCTCTTAAACTGAAGAAACCCCACAAATTGAATAAGTAACAACCTGTAGAATATTACACTAATTTTGTCATAAAGGGGAATAAATATGGCTGTGTCACACCCACATTTCTTCTTTAGAATATTTCTATTGATCAATTATCAATTTTAATTTTATGAGTTTCATTATAACAAATAAACAGTACTTAAGCAAAAAAATCACAAAAATAAAGTATTGAATTCTTAATATTTATTGAGTGTTTATAAAAAACATTAAAAATTTCAACATTGACTATTGTTTTGGTGTACATAGTCTAAAACAACAGGAATAAATTTCTATATAGACTACAATGAAAACATCAGTAGCACTCTACAAAAAATTACAACAGCATGTTCCATACACATGTATCACTTACACTGGTAGCACATGTGTTTTGCATTCCTGGCCTTTTTGTAGGATGTATTTCACATCTCACTGGTCTTTCTATTTTGTCACAATGTTCTTATTATATTATACAATGTATAGTTAACAGGAACATAAAATAAAGCATTAAAGTATTCATATATTTGCACATTAAAAATAAACATTTACATTTTCACATCAGCTGTGTACTTGCTTACAACACCTAAAAGATAACACCAGAAATAAAAACCTATGTAAACTACAGTGAAAATACCAATCGAACTCTTTAACAAAAACAATCTTTGTTTCAATTGCCACATCCCATCCAAGGCATGATCAATGCATGACAACTGCATGTTTCATGAACATGTCTCACACTGACAGCACATATGCTTAGCGTATGTGGCAGACCATTCTTGTCACCTTGCTTCTCTTCCTGTTTTGTCAGGAGCTTTCTATTACATTGTACAATGTGCACTTAGCAGGGAAATAAGATATCAATAAATATCAAATATGAATGAATGCTTAGAATAGACATCAACATTTTCAGATCAGCTATTTACTTGCTCACAAAACCTAGAAGATAACATCAGAAATAGAAACCTATGTGAACTACAATAAAAATACCAATGGAACACTATAACAAAAATAATGTTTGCTTCAGTTGTCACTTCCAAGGCAGTCTTCATATGTGAAAACTGCATGTTCCATACACAACTGTCTCTTACACTGATAGCATGTATGTTTTGTTTCCCTGTCCTTTCCATAAGGCACAGTTGACATCTTTTTGATTTTCCTGTTGTCATGGTAGGTCTTTGGGATGCTGCACCTACCTGTTCACTTGTCAGCTTACCAATGTGCTCCACAGTTTTTATGCATAGTTTCCTGGGCAGAAACATTTTGTTTTTTTCTCTGCTATAAATGATCCCTTATGAGTTCCAGTCCCATTCTTATAAGTAAATTTCTCCATGGTGTTTGGCAGTTGTTATTTTCTTTGTAAACTATCAAACTATTTATGCCACACATGTTTAGGATCAAATAAAACACAACTATGGCCAATGCTTTGTATTTCAAGTTGCATCATAGTTGCTGCATAGCATATCACCAACATCTACTCTGCCTTTGATTTTGTTGTAGAAAGTTTCCATCTCAGGGTTCCATTTTGTTGAGGTTTCCCTATCAATATTTCCATCATAGTGCAATGTTGACATCAGCAGTACTCATTTGTTTTTCTTTGCCATATATGAGGCCAAAGTGAGTCTTTTTGAAATCTAAAGTTTGTACTATGCAATTCTCTGTTTTGAAATTACAACATTTCAGGGCTGGGGATTTAGCTCAGTGGTTCCACTGCCTGCTTTGCAAGTGCAAGGTCCTGAGTTCAATCCCAGGTACAAAAAAGTAAAAAAGAAAAAATAAATAGAAAAAGAAAGATGCAACATTTCATTCAGAATTTCTGCTTTGTTCCCGTGTACAGTTCCTGTGCTGGTAAACTTGTGTTCTGTTAGCAAATGTAACATCAGTTGAAAACTGGTAAACCAATTGTTGATTGTCACATTCTAATTAGGTTTATTACTATATGAATAAGGACCTGATGGCTGAGTTCCAGGATAAATTTCTAAGTTGAAATCATAATAAGTGTTCACATCTGCAAGGACATAAGTTTTATGCCATATATTGACTTATTGCTTTTCTGTAAGTTTTCTACATTATTGTGATTTCCACGAGAAATCCTTACTAAGTATAGCAGACCTATGAATGATTTCAGTTCAGCTAGTGAGGTGTCATAATAAATACATTTTGAATATTGCTATTGGGAAATACAAAATATTTTACTTGTATTTCAGCCTTAGTGTGTGGAGTGCTTTGGTCTGCAGACACTACAGGCTGCCAAGTCATCGTGAGGAATTTCAATCTCCTGTTTGCTGAGCTATGTTGGGATTGTGGCTTATTTACAGAAGTTCTTTGTTTAAGTCATCCTTGATCAAGATGTTTGTTCTGGGATGGCGACATTGCTTTTATGGTTGCTCCCTGCCTGAAGTTTGTTCCCCTGATAGTGATCGGAATGTGCTATAGTCGTGATCTTATAACTTCTTGTTTCTGTCGAGTTAATATAGTTAGCAGGATATATAAAGGAAGGTTTTTTATAAGATCTTTAGACCTTCTCCCAAGATAATAAAAAAGCTTCAGAAGGATCCTGAGTGTTGCGTGCTTTCTTGCTGGCAAGCGGCTCGCGACAACTGGTGCCGAAACCCGGGACGCTGGGAATAATCTCAAGACAACAGATCCAGACATCGGAGAAGGTCCCTGTGCTGAACAGGAGGATTCAAAACTGAGGCGACCTACATAAGGAAGATAAGTTATCCTGGAGAATGGGGGCAATGCAATCCTCTCCTTTTTTGAAAATCCTGAAAAAATTATTAAAGATCCAGGGGCTATCCCTCTCAAATTCTTTTCAACAGCGATTTCTGAATGACATCCAGGCGGCAGCACCTTGATTTGAAACATCAAAAAAAATAACTAGGGAGGCTTGGAAGGAATTGGGAGCCCAATTAAAGATTCTAAAAACGGAGAAGAAGTTAAGGCCAAGAATTTATTCTTTATGGAAAATTATTGATACATATTTTGAGGATGAGAAGTATTCAGATATATTAAGAGATGGACAATTGGCCCTCAAACAACACCAAGATAGCTTATCAGAACCAGAACAAGATAAGAAAAAAGACAAGTTGCCCAGTAGACAGGGGCAAAATGAAAAAGCTCCGAATACTCACAACCAGGGGTCCAGAAGCCCAGGGGGGGAAAAAAGGTTATATCCCTCCCTGACCAGGTTTAGAAAGTCATATAAAGATATAAAAATAAAAGCTCAAATACAAACTTTAACTTTAAATTCTTCTACTTCCTCCTCCTCAACCGAGGAGGAGAAAAAAGAAGAAAGGGAAGACAAAAAAAAGAGGAAAGGTGTTATCCCTCACTAAATAGGGAATTAGGATTCAGAAAAACACCACCATACCTCGCTGAAACTGTGTCACCATCTGGTGATAGTTCCTTTATAACAAGGAAAACCCGTTGCGCCCTTGTTTCAACATTTCCTATTTTTGAGGACGCTAATCAACAACGTTTTCATGAGCCCATACCCCTTAATCAAATAAAAACATTGATGAAAACAATAAAGACTTATGGAGTGAATACCAACTATACTCAAATATTAGTGGAGCGCCTGGCCACAACAACTATGACACCGGCTGATTAGAATACAATAGTGAGGGCTTGCTTAGGCATGGGACAATATCTAAATTAAAAATCTTTATATCATAAAGGCTATACCACCACACTGACTATCAGAAAAGCCGATATGGGTTCCTCAATAGCCTCTTATGTCTGAAAAATTGAAAGCCGCTCATGATCTAATCGCTGAACAAATGCGTTTAGGTCATTTAGAAAAATCTATTTCACCTTAAAATACACCAATTTTTATAATAAAAAAAAAGTCAGAAAAATAGAGATTATTACAAGACTTGAGAACTATTAATAGACAAATACAGATAATGGAAAGTTTACAAAGAAAACTTCCTTTATTATCAGCATTACCAAAAAATTAATTTATTATTATAATAGATATCACAGATTATTTTTTCTCCATACCTTTAAATATTAAAGATAAACCACGCTTTACATTTACATTACCTGCCATTAATCATACAAAACCAGATACTAGATATCAATAAAAAATGTTACCACAAGATTTGGCCAATAATCCAACATTATACCAATTATATGTGGCTAATGCCATTCAACCAATTAGAGACAAATATGAAAAATTAAAAATTTATCATTATATGAATAATATTCTACTATGTAGAAATTCCCAAGAACAAATACAACAAACTTATTCAGATTTAGAAAGAGCTTTAAGACATAAAAATTTATTCATATCTCCATCTAAAATACATTAGTGTATTTCATAGCATCTTGTAACATTTTGTGTGTGACAGTTTCCAACATTGAATGGTAGTGCTGGCATTCTGTCCAATACGTTTCACTCCTGTCAAGATCATCACTATATTTTCAGACCTAGTTCTAACATTGGATAATTCCATTTTGTGACCATTTTTCAACATTTCAACTAGTCAAATGTGTATTCACGTTGCTGTTTACTTCATCATCTGAACTGAAGTTGCCTGAATACCCAGTGTAATACTATATCAGTCAATTCTTATTCCATTTCACTGTCAAAAGAACTTCAGCTCACCTGGTCAACATCAAAATCATCATCAATGTCATATATCCAGCCCCTTTTTCTGTTATGAAGCCATGTATTTTGCCATAATGAATCATCTTCATCATCCTTGCATGAGTAACGTAATGACCGCCTTCAAAAGTTGCAAATCTGGGTTTTCATGTGCCATTGTACTGAATTGGGCTATTTCTATGAGAAAAATCAGAGGGGCTGGGGATTTAGCTCAGTGGTTCTTCTTCTGCCTGCCTCACCAGTGCAAGGTCCTGAGTTTGATTCCTGATACCAAAAGAAAAAAAAAAGAAAACTTAAAAAAACAATAACAACAAATTCTAGAATGGTGTAGGTGTATCATACCCTCTGTGATGCTCAGATAAACATATGAAAAACCTGTCAGGTGGGGCATAATGTGGGTATAAATCCTATTTGACACTATTGTACAGCACTATAGGGCTTTTTAAATTAGCATCTCTACCTCTGTAAGCATTTATCATTTCTTTATGATAGGAATCTTTACATTTTCTCTTCTAGTTACTTATAAATAATACATTATTGTAAATAATAGTTATTGTAAATAATAGCACCTGCTGTATTGTAGAAGACTAGAACTTATTCCTCTCATGTAGTTATCCTTCCTTTATCTCTCCTCTCTCCTTTATTTCTAGCATTGGATTGCTGAAAGGTTTTATTTTCACAATAACTCAAGCTTTCTCTGGCTTCTTGAGGCCTATACTCTGTTCTCTTCCCTCATTGGCCTGACAGTTACTGCATCATGATGTCTCCATGTACCCCTTTCAATTTCTACTTCTGATGGGTTCACAGCCTTAATTCACTATTTTCCCAACTAGATTTGAGGAAAAGATTGCGTTGGTGGGAAGTCAGAAAGAGTGTGTATTTATATGATCTGTTTCATCTTTTTATACCATATCACGTTATAAACTGCCCAATACACCCCTAAATAAGCCATCCTCACTTTTATTTTTATTTATTTACTTTGTGACACTGGGGATTGAACTCAGGGCCTCATACATGCTAGGCAGGTGTTCTACCACTGAGCCACATCCCTAATCCAATAAGCACTCCTTGACAAGCTTAGAAAACCCATGATGTTTTATTTGTAATCCTTATCCTGATCCCAAAAGATTCAGAATATTATATAAAATTATTATAGGCATCCCATAGCATTTTTTATTATGATAAACTATAAAACCTACCACTTTAACCATTTTAAAATACACAGTTCAGTAAGTTCATTAACATTGTTATTTAATCATGACCACTATTTAGTACTTTTTTTGATCATCCCAAACTAAAATTCTGCACTAGCTGAATAATAACTTCCCATTTCTCCCATCCCATAGTGTTTTGCTGAGTTTATTATATTCTGACTCTGGGTAGCAATAGCAAATCATTAACCTTCTTTAGACATAGTTTCCAGTTCCCTTTAGTATTTAGAAGCTGAGGATACAGTGAAACACTATCAACAGCACTGGGTTGGGGTATAAGTTTCTCATTAGATAAATAGGTGGCTCTCTCGTGCAAAAATATCTAACTTGAAGAGTCATAGAGTGAGAAAGAAAAAGGACTTATGATTTCTATTTTTCAAATAAAGATACTGACATACAGAAAATTTAAATAATTTGCTGGTTGTTCTGTCATAGTTGTCAACTCCAGATGAGGGAGTTGTTTTTTTCTCATTCCAAGTAGTCTTGCCTTTTGGTTCCTTGCCATTCAGGAAACCATATTTTCAAGTATCAGGTGACTATTTGGGGTTAGATTTCAACAGACTTGAGATTAAAAAGATAGGTTTTGCTTTCAAGGATCTCAGAGAGGGCTCAGAGGGCTACCATTTGCCCAATAGTGGATTTAGGCAATGTCTGAACTGTTCTTATCGCTTCACCTACTCAGACCTCAGCAGAAAGAATCACACTAGGAAGTAGCACAGTGAAAAGATGGATTTTGATGAGATGGATTTAGTCAATGATGGAGTGAAATGAAAGTGAAAGAACAGGGACAACATTTAATTCACACCATGTAAAATGAAATAATACATTTATCTAAATAACTAGACCTTTGAGGGCACTTAAAATCTCTTTTAATTAAAAAGTTAAGGCAGATTTGAGGAAAACGTATATTCAGGTTTCAAAAAGTTTTTGTTCTGCTGTGCCCAGTAGCTGATTTTTTTTTCAGCTTTAATTGAGTTTATTGGTACATTTTAGGGATACAGTACAGTTTCATTCATTGTTGGGATCTTGTACCTCTACATGACAGGTCTTGATTCTCACTTTTTCCCCTTACCTCTGCCCTCCCTTCACACCCTCCTCCCCTCCCCATCTACAAACACTTTATTTTCATCTTTTCATTCTCTCACATTTTTTTCTTTTCCCATTTTACTCTTCCCCTACCCATCCCACCTTCCCTACACCTTCAGCTCCTTTCTTCCCATTTCTAAATGTCAGTAATCTTATTAGAATCTTATGCATTGTTGCAGATTATTTACACCAGGGAAACTATTTGGTATTTACACATGTGTGACTTATTTATTTCACTTAGGAGTATATCTTCAATATGTATCCATTTTCCTATGAATGAATCTATTCTCTCGCTCTTTATGGCTGAGTAATATTCCATTTTATAGAAAAACCACAACTTCTTTATCCAGTTTCCAACGGATGGGCAAATAGG